TCTATAAGGTTTTCAACCTACACAATGCTCTTGCAGGCTGAGCCATGTGTCTGGATGGAACAAACATTCCTTCAAAGTCTGTTCTTACCACCTCCTCTCCCAAGAGAAAAACAGATTAGAAAAACAGCAGCCCTCAGAAGCAGTTGGCTGGCTCTGTTTCTGGGCGTTCCATTCCCTGCACTTACCATCGTATCCTGTGCCTGTATATGGTGTGTGGATTTGGCTGAGTTAATATAATAAAATGAAATGGAATAACCAGGGGCAGAAGTCAACTATTATTTTAATTTAGCCACAACTATGCTTCACATATTTGTTAAGTTTACCACACATAATGCACTGGGATAAATATGTCAACAAAATCACACGGGTGGCATTCTATGTAATCCTTCACTGTAGAAAAGAGCTTCGATGTAAATGGAAAAAAACATTTATATTACACTCCAGTTATAAGTTAACCATACTTTTAGTAAAATTGAAAATCATCTAGTTTTCCTCCTTCTCAGGAAATGGGGGACAATAATTTTTAGAATTTATTTTACTGCATGTGAATCTCCCTTAGAGACAATTTCTGATCAAACATGTGTGTGTGTACCCCTTGGACAAAGCTATAGAATTATGAAAAATTTAGCTATCAACTGGCCTAGAAAGATCTCAGTCCAATAGGGTGTGTTTGCTGCTAAATTAAAATGTATACTTTGTTTTCTAAAGATTGTTCATATATTATTCTTAGCAAAAATGCCTTAATTTTTAGAATCAAGAAGATTTTGACTGAGTGTGAATATGTTTTTTTAAAGTAAGAAAATACAGAATATCAGAGCATTAGGAGGTACTAACAGAAGAAGAACTATTAAATCATCTCCAAGACATTCCTTCTAAGGGAGAAATTTTCACCAATATAAATAATCAACAGCTATTTTGTAAAAAATTAAAGCTCAAAAGTTTACCCTTAAAATAACCCTGTGAACAATCTATGTTGGAAGCCTACAGAGAGCATATGAGAAAAAAACTTCAAAAGGTAAAAAGAAAAGGGCAAACTTCTCAGGAATTATAAAGAAATAAAGATCACATGCTTTTATTATTTAGATTATGTCTCTGTAATTAAGACAATTTCTGTTTCTACTTGTATTTTTAAAACTTCAGTATAGCTGATCACTATGTCAGCAATACTTACAGAAACTGGATATTTTAGGTATCAGTACTGAAGCTAATGCTGTTTCTTCTTGATGAGTTTTGTATACATATAATATTTAACAGTTCCCAAGACATTTAACTTACACTCTCCCATTCGGTCCCCACCATAAGTCCGGGAGGAAGGGGGCCCGTGATTGCCCCCTTTATACGGATGGGTAAACTGAGGCCTGGAGAGCGAAGGGCCTGCCTCAAGGTCACCTGGTCGAGCAGCCAAACCAGGGCCCTCGGCAACCAGTACCAGTCTTTCATTAAATACACTTCCAAAAATAAACTTCAGTGGACCACTGGAATTAAACTCTCGACCACTGTCGGAGATAGAAATTTGATTAGATAGTTTCTTGTTAATTTCTTTTAACTTGACTAAGTCTTTAAGTTTTCATCAAAACTGCCCTTGTGGGGCCTCACCGCTGCTGATCACAACATGTATCCCCCAAACTCCTGAGTTTCCAAATTCAGTGGATATTTGCCTTAATATCACTGAGCCTTCACAGCACAAAGGAGGACGCAGACCTGTTCTGTTCCC